AGGTTAAGTCACTGCTTGCAACACCAACATCCCATATAGGAGTGCTGGTTTGAGTCCCAGTTACTCCACTTCTGAATTAGCTTTTTGCTAATGCAGCAGAAGATGGACAAAATACTTGGGCCCCTGCCACACATGTGGGAGAACAAGGTTGGGTTTCTGGCTCACAGCTGCGGCCTGGCCTGGACCTGGCTGTTGCAGTCATTTGGGGGTGTGTGTGTGTGTGTGCGGTAAACCACCAGATAGAAAATATCTCTCTCTGTCTCTGCCTCTCTCTCTTTCTTTCTCTCAGTCTCTCTCTCTCTCTCTGTCATTTTTCCTTTCAAATAAATATGTAAAAAATAAAAATATGATTTCTATTTCAATTTAAACATCTATAAATACCATTTGTTCTATACACAGTTGTTGGGTTAAAGGATGTACAGAGGAAATGTGTATATAAAATATCTAAATGTTGCCAAATATCCATAAAGAATGTACAGTTTTGTATTCCTATTAGCAATATAAGAGAATACCTGTTTCCTCATAGCCTTCTCAACAGTTGTTGAACTTTTGGATGTCTGCCACTCGTAATCCATTTTTACTGTGGTACAGCACACAAAACGTGAGGCCTACCCTTTTAACAGATTTTTATGTGCACAGCACAATACTGCTAACTATGTGTACGTTGTGCAACAGGTCTGTAGCAGCTGTTCATCTTGCGCGAATGAAAGTTTATGCCCACTGAACAGCAACTCCCTGTTTTCCAAATCCTTCCATCCCCTGGCAACTAGCATAACATCCTACTTTCTGTTTCTACGAGCTTAATGATTAGATGCCTTATATAAATACAGTCAAACAATGTCTGTCTTTCTGTGACTAGCTTATTTAATTTACCATAATGGTTTCTTATACTGAAGCCTATGACAGGATTTTCCTCTTTTCTTAGGACTAACATTCCATCATATGTATACAGTATCATGCTTTCTCCTTTTGTTCATCCATCATGGACAGTTAAGTTTTTTCCATGTCTTGGCTATTGTGAATCATGCTACAATTAACAGAGGAGTGCAAATATTTCAAGGCCCTATTTTCAATTCTTTGAGATAAATATCAAGCAGTGGGTTTGCTTGATCATAAGGAATTCATTGTAATTTTTTGAGGTACTTCCATGCTGCTTTCCATAGTAATGGTATCATTTTACATTTATACCAACAATATACAAGTGTTCCGATTTCTCCAAATCCTTGGGAACACTTGTTATTTTTTTTTTAAGTTTTTGCCCATATTTTAACCATGTTGTTTGTGTTTTTGCTGTGACTACTAGGAAGTTCTTATATATTTTGAATAGTAACCCCTTATCAAATGTAAGGCAGCAAATGTTTTCTTCCAATCTGCAGGTTGCCTTTTCATTCTGTTGATTATTTTCTAAGCTGTACAGGAGTTTTTTAGTTTGACACAATTCCGCTAAACTGTCTTTGCTGTTGTTGTCTTCTTGCTTGATATCGTATCAAAGAAATCATTACCCAAACCAGTGTCATGAAGATTTTCCATTATTTCCTTTGAGGAATTTTGTAGTTGCAGGCCTTACATTTAAGGCCTCTAGTTCACTTTAAGCTTGTTTTTGTGTGTGGTGTTGGGTAAGGATCCAGTTTTATTCTTTCCCCTATGGATGCACACATTTCCCATCACCACTGGTTGGGGAGACTCTCCCATCCCCTTTGGAGAGGGAGTGCAAACCTTCACTCTCTGCCTTCATGTGCTGCTGTGTGTATGTCTTCGGCTTTGTGTTTTCTCCTCCCGTCAGATTAAGGGCCCACCAGTATGGATGACCTCATCTTGATCTTGTCTGGAAGGACTCTATTGTCAAATAAGCTCATAGACTGAGGTATGGAACCTTAGGACTTCAACATAACCATTGGGGGCACACAGTTCTACCCTTAACAACTAGTCTGGTTTTTTATCTGCTACCCTGGGTAACCAACCCTTGCTTGTACCCCTCTTCAAATTTCAAGTTACAAAGTTTAGCTTGCTTTTTAAAAGTAAATAGGAAAATACTTTTCATAGTTTTCCCTAAGGATGCTTTAGGAAACCAAAGCATAGATTACTTTTAGAAAAATTTAAAAATAACTATTACCAAATATTTTTCAAATTTTAAAATCTTTATTATTTTTGCTAATTATAAATGAATGCATACTCATTATAAAAATTCAAACAATTTAGAAACATCAGTAGAATATAAAACAGATCTGTCTGCGATATATCAGAGGAAGTGAAATAAAAATGCAGATTGTTGATATGTATTAAGTTATTATCCAGGGCTGGCGCTGTGGCGCAGTGGGTTGACACCCTGGCCTGAAGCACTGGCATCCCATATGGGCGCTGGTTCTAGTCCCGGCTACTCCTCTTCCGATCCAACTCTGCTATGGCCTGGGAAAGCTGTAGAAGATGGGCCCCTGCATCCGCGCAGGAGACCTGGAAGAAGCTCCTAGCTCCTGGCTTCGGATTGGCGCAACTCCGGTCATTGCGGCCAATTGGGGAGTGAACCATCGGATAGAAGATCTCTCTCTCTCTCTCTCTCTCTCTGTAACTCTGACTTTCAAATAAATAAATGAATCTTTAAAAAAAGTTATTATCCAACCCTTCTAAACCATTTCTTATTAAATTATTATTATTAAAGTTATTATCCAACTACTTCTAAACCATTTAAAATTTTGGATAAAATGCTTATATAAAAGACATTTTCTTGAAGTCATCAAAAATCTGCCAAGATGTAAGGAATTGGCAGTCTAAAATCGAAGGGGTGGGGCTCAGGGAGGTGAGCAGAGCACAGAGCTCCCAGGAATCCAAGGGCATTTGCTGTTCTGGAAACTTGACTCTTGGTTCTGACACCCTTGTCAGGTGACAGAAAGCAAATGCTATTATCATGGGTGTAAGAAGGGGATGAAAATTAAGAATGGGCGAAAAGGGGTAGACTTTATAGTAAATCGTCAGTGAGCTCTCACCAGGCATCTATAAGAAAACTCGTTCTGAAACTGAACTGAGGTATCCTAGAGGGCAGGGATACCCACCTCTGAGAAACAGGAAGGTGCAGCATAAACATTTCTTCTACATGGTCAGAACTTCTTAAGGGTGAACTTACTGGTAGGCATTTTGTCTCATAGTTAAGATGTTCCTGGATACTGTATCAGAGTGCTTGGGTTTTAGTCCAGGCTCCATTCACCATTCTGGCTTCCTGTTCATGTACACCCTGGGAAACAGCAAGTTATGGATCACATGTATGGGGTCCTGCCACCTACTCAGGGGTAGGATTGAGATCCTGGCTCCCAGCTTCAATTCTGTGTGACTCTGGCCACTGCAGGCATTTGGGGATTGAACAGAGGATGAGAGCTCTTTTCTGTGTGCGTGTGTGTGTGTGTGAAAAATGAATGCATGAGTGAAGAAGAATAATAAACCGACAAGTATATTCTTATAGAATTACTTTGGAAAGCATTGTGGTAGTTTCTTGTGAAGCTAGTCCTTCACCTACCACCTGACCCAGTAGCTCTATCCCCAAGAAAAACAAAGATGTACATTTGTTAGTTGCTCATTTATATGAATAAGGTTGATCGTGTATTTCAGAGTCATTCATAATGTCCAAGGCCTGGGGAAACTGTTGAAATGTCCATGAACTGGTAAATGGATAAATAAATTTTGGCATATTTATATCATGAATTACTCCTGAGCATAGAAAAAGAACATGTTACTGCTACATTTAGCAACATAGGTAGATCTCAAAAATATGGTGCTGAACAAGAGTAGGTAGACACAAAGGAGTACAAATTGCATGACTGCATTTACATACGATTTTAGAGCAGTCTCAGCTAATCTGTAATGACAGGGAGCACATTAGTGACTCTTTGGGGATGACTGTGGGGGAGATAAGACCTCAAATGGACATGAGAAATTTCTCGATAAAAACGTTATATATCTTGACATTGGAGGTGCTTACAGAGTTGCAAACATTTTCCTCAAGTCGCTGATATGTTTAAGTAAAGGAAGCAAGTTTTATGTAACTGATAATTAAAAGCAAGTTTTATATAATTGATATTTTGGTAGCTTTGTTTAAAATGTAAAAACAACAGCATAAAAGTGATCCCAGACTGGTAGAGCCACTTGGAACCTGGCACCAGATAGAGATTACTGTATCTCAGCCTTCAAAAAAAATCTGCACCAATAATTTTTCATGGACATTGCCTAACACACAATAAAAAATAATGAGGCATACACAGATACCTTGTATCACTGGTGAAAAGTGTAGAGAAACTTCAGTTTGCAAATCAAACTTGCAAAGACTTTATGTAGTGAAATGATCAGCTGTAGGTTGTAAAACAGTCATTTTCACTATGCTTCAAGGAAAAAAATATGTATGCAGACAATGCAACCCCATAAAAAGTGACCATGGAAATCTGAAAAAGAACCAAATAGAACAAAAGGTAGAAAACTGAACTTTAAATATTTGCTGGATGATTTTTAACAGAAGACTCAACTTTTCTGTAGAGAAAATTAGTAAATTGAAATGCAGGTTACAATATTAATCAGAATTTTATGCAAAATATGAAAGAAGGATTAGAAGATATTGAAAATAAAATGAACTCTAACATGTCTAACTGGATTTCCAAAGAAGTGGAAAAAGAGAATGAGAGAGTCAGTGTTTGAGATGAAGTCTAGGAACATTCTAGAACTAAGGACTACCTATTCACAAATACAAGAAGCCTACACATAAAAAATATTTTCATCCAGCCTTAAATAAGTATCACATTAAAATAACACATATTGATAAAAGTGAGGAAAGACAAAGACAACATCTTAGAAGAGTTACTTTCAAAACATTATTGATTAGAGTGAATATTATCAACTGAACTTCTCAATAGCAACAGTTTAAACCAGGAGGCAATACACTGAAAAAAAAATAATTGCCAATTCTGGTTATAAAACAAACAAGAAATGTTTTTTTAAATGAGTTTTTAAAAATTCTTTTTCAGGTAAATGGAAGCCAAGAGTTCGCTCTCAGCTGACCCTATCAAGGAAATGTTAATGCATGTACTACAGGCAAAAGATCATAGTCCCAGACCTGCAGGAAAGAATGAAGAACAATGAACGAGGTAAATGTCTGGATAAATCTGAAGGAAAAGTAAACAATACTAGTTTTCAGTTGAACTGAAACAAACAAACAAACAAACAAACAAGAGTTAATATAAGAAAAACATATGTGATAGGGCTTCAGAATTTTCACAGAATATTCACATTATCTTTCAGTTCCATTTCCCACAAACATTTTGAAGAGCCCGCATATACTTTTGTGTGTGTATGTATTTGCTTGCTGTATGACATATCTTTTTATTTTTAAATATTTATTTATTTATTTCAAAGGCAGAGTTATAGAAAGAGGGAGAGAGAGAAAGAGAGAGGGAGAGAAAGAGAGAGAGAGAGAGAAGAGGTCTTCCATTCACTGGTTCACTCCCAAATGGCCACAGTGTCTAAGGCTGGGCCAGACTGGAGCCAGGAGCCAGGATCCAGGAACAGGGATCATCCTCTGATGCTTTCCCAGGAACATTAGAATGGAGCAAGGTTGGAAGTGGAGCAGCCTGGACCTGAATGGATAACCATATGGGATGCCAGCATAGCAGGTGGTGGCTTAACCCAATATGCCACAATGCCAACCCTTGTATATTAAATATTACAACGAAAGAGGTTTTTAAAAACTTGAAGCACTGCTCACAACAAAAAAACGGTCTTCACATCTTCCTTGAATATCCATTGATCATAGATGAAAGGGTTCATTTAAGGACCTCTATTCTCTCAATTCTATTCATTTGGCCAATTGGTCTGTCCTTCTGCCAGTACCAAACTGTTTTGAATAAAACAGATTTGTAGTAAGTTAAGAAAAGCTCATTTTAATTTGTGAGGCAGAGAGACAGACAGACACAGAGAGAGAACTCCTATCCCCTGGCTCACTGAGCTGGGTGAAACGGGGAGCTGGGAATTCCATGCACATCTCCCACAGGGGTAGCAGGAACCAGTTAGTAGAGCCACTGCCTTTCAGGGTCTGCATTAGCAGGAAGCTGAAGTCAGGAGTGGAGCCAGGAATCTGACCCAGGCACTCTGATGTGGAATGCGAGTATCTTAACTGCGAGGCTAAATGCGCGCCGCAGATTTATAATAAGGCTTACATCTGTGAAGGCTTGGAAAACCATAGCTCACAATGAAGATCTCTGATCGACTCTGCTCCGGCCTTCCTGTCTTTCACTCTCACGTTCCGCCAAGACAAGCCGTAGAAACTGGAATCCCTCTTTCCTAAAGTGAGTCGTGGGCCACATAGCCCCTTCTTCTCAGACAGCCATGGAGCTTAAAGATAGGACTCCAGTCTGTCCCCTTCTTCTCAGACAGCCATGGAGCTTAAAGATAGGACTCCAGTCTGTCCCCTTCTTCTCAGACAGCCATGGAGCTTAAAGATAGGACTCCAGTCTCTCCCCTTCTGCATCCCCGCTGGCCATCAGGGAAGCAAGACTCATTCCAGAGGACCCCGCCCCAGACCAGGGAGGGAGAAGGGCTGCAGCAGAGGGGCCGAGGTGAATCTGCGCTTTCCCACCTGGTCTGTTTCCAGTGGCTCCTGCGCTTCTTGTCAGTCACATTCCTGCACAGCTGCCCTGCCTCCTCATTACACTTCCTCCTCGGTGTAATAGCCAGTGGCTTGCTTTGTGCCTTCAGCTCTGCATGCTGAAGACTGTGTGCCATGAAGTGGTCACCAAGTGAATTTGTTACGCCTTTCTCTGGTGAACCTGTGAGCAACCCAGGGACCGTCACCTTTTCCAGCCCCTGCAGTTGCTTTGGTAGTACTGGTCTCTTAACAGTATTGTGTTCCAATCCATGAGCAGGGGCTATCTTCCCACTTACTTGTTTTCTTTGATTCCTCCGCAGTGTTTTATAGATTTCAGTGTACACATCTTTCTCTCCTTTGATTTCACATTAAATAAAGTTTTATTTATATATTTAATTATTTATTTATTTTAAATGGTAGAGTGATGGAGAGAGAGAGAGAGAGAGAGAGAGAGAAATAGAGACAGAGCGGTCTTCCATCTGCTAGTTCACAACAGCCAGAGCTGGGTCAGGTGGAAATCAGGAGACTGGAACTCCATCTGGTTCCCTCACGTGAGTGACTGGGGCCCAAGTACTTGGAACATCCTCTGCTGCCCTCTCAGTTGCATTGGAAGCAGAGCGGCTAAGACCTGAACCAAGCACTCTAATACAGGATGGTAGCATTGCAAGCAGCAGCTAACCCTGCACCACAACGTTGACCCCATCTTCCACCTCTTTGATTATGTTAATTCCTAAGAGTTTTGTTTCTTTGTATGCTATTGTAAAAGGAGTTGTTTTTCTTGATTTCCTTTTCAGATTGTTCATTGTTATTGTATAGAAATGTAACATAGTTTTGCATGTTGTTTTTGTATCTTGCAACTAGACTGAATTCATTTATTAGCTCTAACAGATTTTTGTGAAATCTTTAAGCTTTATAGTTAATATTTTAAAATGTTCATGTAACATTTATATAAACTGATTACCTAATAGGCCATGAAAAACACCTCAATAAAACTTAAATTAGAAATTCCTCAGGCCACACTCTCTGACATCAGTGAAACGCTGTTAGAAGCTGAGGACACAAGGGCTGGTATAGAGATGCAGTGTGTTAAGCCACTTCTTGAAACGCTACCATCCCATATTCTAGATTTGGCTTGATTCCTGGCTGCTCTGTTTCCCATTCAGCTTCTTGCTAATGCACCTGGGAGAATAGCAGAAGATGGCCCAAGTACTTGGGTCCCTGCCAACCATGTGGGAGACCTGGATGGAGCGCTGGACTCTTGGCTTCGGCCTGGCCCAGCCATGGCTGTTGTGGCCATTTGGGGAGTGAACCAATAGATGGAAGATATCTCTGTGTCTCTGTCTCTCACTCTGTTACTCTTCCTTTCAAATAGATAAATCTTTTTTAAAACAGTTAAGAACACATCAAAAAACCAAATACACATACTATACATACATACATGAGAGAGATTGTTATGTTAAATACCTTTTGAATTTAAGAAAAAAAAAACTTAACACTGTACTTATTAAAAAAGAAATGCAGGGGTCAGCATTTGGCACAGTGGTAAAAATGCTACTTCGGGCTTGGGGCACCTGCATCCCACGTCAGAGTGCCTGGTTTGAGTCTTAACTTCACTCCCGGTGGCTCCTCTTCCCATCCAGTCTCTGTTATGGCCTGGGAAAGCAATGGAAGACAGCCCAAGACCTTGGGCCCCTGCACCTTCATGGGAGACCTGGAAGAAGCTACTGGCTCCTGGCTTCAGATCAGCTCAGCTCTGGACATTAATGGTAATTTGGGGAGTGAACCAGTGGATGGAAGATCTCAATCTCTCTCTGGCTCTACCTTTCCCTCCAGCTCTTTCAAATAAATAAAATAAATCTTAAAAAAAAAATAGACTTAGGGAAAATTTGTAAATGAAGGATCTGTTGCCTGCAGAGTCCAAAAGGGCCCAATTGGGCTTGTTTCAGTGTTGGTGGTATGAGGGGCAACTGCTGCTTCTGAAAGTATCAGCGTGGTGAGGCCCCGTCCTGTGTCGGGGCGGGGGTCCAGCCCCATCCTGTTGGGGGACAGGGGTCCAGCCTCATCCTGTGTTGGGGGCAGGGGTCCAGGCCCTGTCCTGTTGGGGGGCATGGGTCCAGGCCCCATCCTGTTGGGGGGCAGGGGTCCAGGCCCCGTCCTGTGTCGGGGGCAGGGGTCCAGCCCCGTCCTGTTGGGGAGCAGGGGTCCAGCCCCATCCTGTGTTGGGGGCAGGGGTCCAGGCCCCATCCTGTTGGGGGGCAGGGGTCCAGCCCCATCCTGTGTTGGGGGCAGGGGTCCAGGCCCCATCCTGTTGGGGGGCAGGGGTCCAGGCCCTGTCCTGTTGGGGAGCAGGGGTCCAGCCCCATCCTGTGTTGGGGGCAGGGGTCCAGGCCCTGTCCTGTTGGGGGGCAGGGGTCCAGGCCCTGTCCTGTGTGCGGGGCGGGGGTCCAGTCCCCGTCCTGTGTTGGGGGCAGGGGTCCAGCCCCGTCCTGTGTCGGGGACAGAGGTCCAGGTCCCATCCTGTGTGGGGGTCAGGGGTCCAGGCCCTGTCCTGTGTGTGGGGTGGGGGTCCAGGCTCTTTCATGTTCTGCACATCCTGAATGGCTCTGTCACAGGAACCTCTGCGAAAGAGAATGCCATGAGGGCAGTGCTGTTCCTGTACTCTTGGAGGAACCTGGATGTGGTTAAGACCTGGCCTGCAAGGATTCTGTGTTTAAAGTCTGCTCCAATCTCTGACTAGTCTCTGGGTCACATGTGTGCATTGTGTACACGTGGAGTAGACTCCAAACAATGCGGCTAAGACTAGGAGAACCCATCTGGAATTGGAGCCGCTGCTAGGTGGCCAGTCTGTCAGAGTTTGTCCAGGACTCTCCTTGGTTGAGTACTGACAGTCCTTTATTCTGGGAGCCCCTATCGGTTCTAGGAAGAGTGGATGACCGCTCACTCCAAATGCTTCCCAGCAGAGAGTCTACAGCTTGAATCCGGCGAAGGGCGTAAGCGAATGAACGAAGACCATCAGGAGGAATATTGTAGATTCGAGAGTCTCCACGACGCAGCATTCACGTTGTGTTGCGGACAGAATGCTTGTGTCCTTCTCATATTTGTGTGTTGACGTCCAAGGAGTGGGGCCTTTGGGAGGTAGTTAGGTCAGGAGATGAAGGCTCTCATGAACGGGATCATTATAAGAAGAGAATAGGAACTGCTTCTTTCTCTTGCCATGTGAAGATGCAGGAAGAAGACTGCCGGTCAGCCAGGAAGCAAACCTGCTAGCTTCTTGATTTTGCAGTTCCCGGCCTCCAGAACTCTGAAAAATAAATATTTGCTGTTGAAGCTCCCCTACCTATGGTGACTTGTTATGACAGCCTGACCTAAGACATGATGTTCAGCGGAAAGAGAATCTCTGGAGACAGCCACTCAAGATGATCAAATCATTGGGATTATTGATAAAAAGGCCTGTAAACTGTATTTAATTATGTGAAAGAAAATGAGGAATGAATGAGAAAACAGGCACTCTCAGAAGAAAAATGAAAAGTATTAGTGAGAACCAAATAGAAATTTCATCTTGAAAACAAATTTTTAAAAAATGGCAATATAACTAACAGAAAGAAAGAGAAGAGAATAAACAATCTCGTGGACCTTTGGTGTGACTTAGAGGTAAGGTAATTGGTGTCCCCAAAATGTTGAGAGAGAGAGAGAGACAAATGAGCAAAAATCAACTCCTCAAGTTCAATGAACGAGTGAGAAAATTAACGAGTACTATAGAACCTCTATGATATCAGAATAAAATAATCTATTAAAAGAACTATAATTGGGGGCTGGCTTTTTGGTAAAGTGGGTAAAGCCGCTACCTGTGATACTGGCATTCCATATGGGCTCCGGTTCATGTCTTGGCTGCTCCACTTTCCTTTTTTGTTTTTAAAGATTTATTTTATTTGTTTGAAAGGCAAAGTTACAGAGAGAGGTAGAGACAGAGAAAGAGAGAGAGAGAGAGAGATCTTCTGTCCATTGGTTCACTTCCCAAATGGCTGCAACAGGTGGAGCTGAGCTGATCCAAAGCCAGGAACCAGAAGCCTCCTCCAGGTCTCCCACGTGGGTGCAGGGGCCCAAGGACTTGGGCCATCCTCCACTGCCTTCCAGGCCGCAGCAGAGAGCTGGATTGGAAGCGGAGCTGCCGGGACTTGAACTGGCACCCATATGGGACGCTGGAGCTTCAGCCCAGGGCTTTAACCTGCTGCACCACAGTGCCAGCCCCTGCTCCACTTTCTCTCCAGCTCCCTGCTAATGGTCTGGGAAAAGCAGGGAATATGGCCCAAATACTTGCCACCCATGGGGGAGACCTGGCTGAAGCTCTTGGCTCCGGTCTGTCTCAGCCCTGGCCAACGTAGGCACTTGGGGAGTGAACCAGTATATGGAAGACCTTTGTTTCTCTCTGTCTCTCCCTCTCTCTCCATAACTCTGACTTTCAAATAAATAAAATAAATCTTTTTTTTAAAAAAATTATCACTTTGGGCAGAGTTTTAATAGTACTATTTAAGGAAAATTGGATAGTTATTATTAAAAATGTATGGTAAGTGTGGGCACCCAGCACAGCAGTTAAGGTGCCGCTTGGGAAAGATGACCGATCAACGTGCTTGGGTTTGAGTGCCAGCTCTGCTCTAGTTCCCGAGGATGCTCGCCCTGGGAGGCGGCAGGTGACTACGCAAGTACTTGAGTTCCTGCTACCCATGTGGGGAACCCAGGTGAGTTCCAGGCTCCAGGCTTCAGCCTGGCCCAGCGCTGGATGTTGTGGGCATACGGGGAGTGAACCAGAGGTAGAAGATCTTTATTTGTCTCTCTCTGTCTTTCAAATAAGCAAATAAAATTATTTTAAAAAAAACCTCTTTACAGTAGTTTAGCCTGTTTGTTGAGTGTAGACATCATGTCCATGCTTGTTTTACAGTCCCTCCCATTGCTCCTGGGCGTGTTCTGTGGGAAAGCCCCACTCCTCTCAGTCAGGCTGGGTGCAGGTATTAGGAGAACTCACGCTCATGTATTCAGGTCTCTTGACTACCTGTGTCTGATGAGCAACAGGCTCGGTGGATCTGTAGCCCCTCTGTTCCCAGTCCCATTTTCTCCTCCTCCGTTTTTTAGAACTTTCTCATAGAGGACATATACAGTCCTGCAGCCAGCTCTCCGCTGTGTTCCTCTTTCTGAAAATATCTGATTTGTCCCACTCTCTTTGCTGCTTCCTCCCATCTACACCCACCTTCTTCCCCTCCAGGCTGTTTAAACTGGAAACACGACCCACGTCCAGGGCAGCAAGGTCACGAACACAGTCGTGGGCAGGCTTCCTGGGCCTCTGCCTTCAATTACACCCTAAAGGGGTATCTTTTCCTTGGGAAGGAGTTGCTTACCTGTCTGGCTCTCAAAGAACCCCCTGGGTGGGTATTAGGATGGAGGAAGGCTCTGGCTCTTCCTGCCATGGGCACTCTTCCAAAGCCAGTCACCTAGGGTCTGCATTGTCCCAACTCATTCTTACAAAGGCAGTGGGCAAACTACAAGAACCTTTGGAGGAGTGGGCTCATGACCAGGAGACATGCCGCCTGTTTACTCATTCATTTAGAAAGTGTTGATTGAGCTCCTACTGAATGCCCACCCCATCCCAGGCGTTATGAATAATGGTAATAATAATAGCAATTGCTGGGGCTTCGGCGGCACCCATCTAAGTGACTAGGATATGTTAACTCCACAGACAAGTAAATTAGGCTTTAACCCCAGGGGAAATACACACACACACACACACACACACACACACACACACGTAGTGTGATATAAACAATGATAAATGGGCACAGGCCAACACACTGAACCCACCACAAAAGGATGAGGTTCAAACATCTCGGCATCTGCTGAACTGGTTGCCCGGGTTACAGGGGCTGTCCTCTTACTACTTCCTGGCCCGCTCAGCTCAGTGGGCTTCAGTACCAGGACGTTTGCCAGGGAAGGGTACACACAGTTCTCTCTCAGTCAGAAGTTTTCTTGCTCCAGGGCTGCTTCTTACAGGGTGTAATGGCTTGACAACATTCCCCTCCTTTTGTCCTCAGAGTCGGTGGGACGGTGACATTTCCGTGTGACAGCTATGCAGCGCCTGACACTCTGGCAGCTAGGAGGGGCATGAATGCCTAGGAGTTTGCTCCCTGTGATGAGAAGATTCTGAAAGATGCAGCCAAGGGAAGGCTCTTGGAGGTGCCCATCCCCCAGCAGCAGTTTTCAACATGTGGTCCCAATCACGAAACATAGCATCCCTTGGTACCCTGGGCCCGTAGCCATCTGGGTGTCAACAACTCTAATTCCAAAGTTTCAGGAGTCACATTAGTCTCTTTTCTTAGACTGTTGGTTTGCCTGAAAAGATCCTTTTTTTAAGATTTAAAAAAAATTATTTGAAAGGGAGAGTTAACAGAGAGACAGAGGGAGGGCTAGATAGAGATCTTTCATCTCCTGTTTCACTCCCTAAATTGGGCCAGGCTGAAGCTGGGAGCACAGAGCTTCCTCCAGGTCTCCCACGTGGGTGCAGGGCCCAAGCACTTGGGCATCCTCCTCCTTCTCAGGTATACTAGCAGGTGGCTGAACTATCCTTTATACCCATCCAACGACAGGTACAAATTCTTACGTAGATATTTCTCCACAATGGCATATTTAGAAAGAAGCCAATGAACATTTACTCTTAGCACCTGTGAACCCAAATATAGCTTGTGACTGGTTCTTATATAGCCCTTGGACTGAGGAAGGTTTTAGAGCTTTGAAAGTTTGTTAAAAAACAAAAACCAGAAACAGGCACCACGAAGTGGCAGGTACAAGATAGTCCTCTAATACTTTGCTCTCTGCTCACCCTTTCATTTGGATAATACGTCAAAGATCTTATTTAATTAATTTGGATTTAACTTTCATTTTTCTTTTGT